GTATACTCTCAGAATAATGAATGTTTGATTCAAGCATAAACTGATACATCAGTATACATGAATACAACCAACTTGGAATTAAGTTCTATAATTTATTATATTATATTAAGACAAAAACCAAAACTCTTGATAAAAGAAGTAAGAGTATTGAGAGGCCCTGAGTGTGTATCAATCATTATTTACTGGTGACCTTTCTTTCATTTTAAAAGAACAAAAGGTGCTTACGAAATTGAAGGTGGCAATAATATTTTAAAAATAGATTATAATTTGCAAAACCTTCAAGACAACTCTATTTGTTTTCTTTATAAAATGAGATTACCCACAAAACTGTTTGACGTTGAAAATGATTCTGCTAATAAAACGTATGTGGCTGTTGAGAAGAAGATACACGAATCTGCCTTTGTGGCATTAAGGGAAAGAGAACAACAATATATATATATATATATATATATATATATATATATATATATATATATATATATATATATGTATATATGCATATATATATATGCGCACACACACACATATATACATATATGGAATACCGGCGACTACCACGAAAAGCAAAAAGCTAACTGTCAAAGAATATTGAATAATTAGTCAAATATTTTTAAGGGAATGTTGTGAATTGTTAATTGAGTTGCCAGATAGATAGCAAAACCTGTTTTCCAATTACCGAACTAGTATAGAAGGGACATGCAATTATGGAAACAAAATTTTGCTGACGGGTGTACTTCGATTTGTCGTTAAAGATGTGAATGCACAAATGTGTTCTGCATGAGATTGTTACTGGGTTAGTAGCAGTAAATTGAGCATGGTTGTTACCCATTTGCGAGTTGAACGAGGGAAACGGAAGCATATTATGAATTATTTACGTGTTATGATGAAACTGTGACAAACAGACGAATTTTTGTAGGGAAGTGATTTATTGTAGTGGAGAGTGAAAGCGTACCTTTGGACGGCGACGAAATTATTATTTAAATTCACAGGAGCTAGGAGAAGTATAATTGATGTAAAAGAGATATTTTAAAGGTTCCGTTATAAATACGCAAGAAGAAAAAATCACGAAAAAGAGTAATTTGAACAATTTGGCAATTGATTGAAAATATTGGTATAATACATCAATTTCACAAATAGAATTTACATGAGAAAATGTATTTTCTTTTTTCGTGTACATTTGTTTATTAATGTTATTTAAAGTGTATGAAATTGGGGAGGGGGACCTCAAAAAAAAAAAACAACAATTTTTTAGTGACAGTCAGGAACTCCTCGCTTTACGAGTCGGGCATTGCTCGACAATTTTCAAAGCACTCCTACCATTACCTATGATAAATACCCCAGCCACGCGCTGTACTGTAGCTAGTAGATTTAATATGTCATAAATATATCATGGAATAGAGCTAAAATTGATATACACATATTATGCTATTTAATTATTTTAGAAATATTTAATTTTACTAAAAAATAAGATAAAATAATTATTATAACATATCAATAAAATTAATGGTATGACTGGTATAAATAGTATTACTAGCTTTTCTTGAAAGATGGATTGAAGAAGTGCAGTGGAGTAGGAGAATTAGTTACGAAATCGGCGACTACATTTTATGAAGCAATGCAAATTGCTGAAGATTCATTCATGCCTTCACAAGGTTCCTAATTAATTTGCGTTCTAGGTTTCTGAGAAGTTCGAGGTATCTATTGTGATGGATCTTCACCTGATCGGTCATTTCTTTAGATTTTTTGGAGAAAATCGCGGACTGTAGTTCCCATCTTCAACAGAAAATAGTTTCTATTTCGCCCCAGTGAAGATGTGTTTGGAATGTTGTCATCAGTGCTCGCTACGAGCTTTTGCCTTCAACTGTTTCCTGTGCCAGAGAGGGGGAAGCAAGGTCATCGTGTAAGAAAAGTTGCGTGATTAATATCATTTGCCTTTCTTGAGAATCGAGCAGCAGTCACAATCTTCCATCATTGCTGGATGCCAGTAACTTCGATATCGTGTGTCCAAATCCCTAATGTCTTTGTGGAATCTCGCTCCCTGTTTGTCACTAACGCCAAGATTTTTAATAAGAAGTTCAAATTGGAATGCCAAAAACGAATATTAATGCCATGGAACTCATTGTGTAGTTTTAATATTTTTGGTTATCTAATATTTCTTTTAACGCCTTTACCAATTATTTCTAAGCTCCTTTTTATTAAACGAAAACTGTGTAACAATTAACTTTTCTCATTTGTCGTCCAATAAAAATACCTTATTATGTTAAGTTCCATTTCACTGCGAAAAAAGTCATCGTAAATGTTTCAAACCTTCCCTGTTTTGTACACAACATTCCCAGTTTTTTATCAGTCGTACTATACTAATCAAGAAAAAGGTGACACAGCGAGGATTTATGTTCGATTCTTGTAGTTCTTTCGTCTTCGTCGAAAAAAATACCTACAAGTCTGTAAATCCCTGAGTAAACCACATTTTTATTTCTGAAGGATGTAATGTTTGTTCCGTTTGATAGTAGATTCCACTCCTGCAATCTCCAGCAAAGACATTACCTTTTTATAGCCCAAGATACCGTAAAAAATTAAGGAGTTGGATTTGACATAATGTAATGACGTTCTCTGGAGGTTTGAGTTTTTGTCTTTAGGTAGAAGGTCCAGAGACAGCCGATCATTTGGGAGGGGATTTATTGCACATTTTTGTTAAATAATGACAGACCTAATTGTTATTATATTGTATATTATGTATGAGCTGAAGATGTGATACTATACAGTATTATTGTTTAAATAATTACATAATTCAAATATAAATAAATGTTTAAATCAATTTTGCCAAATAAAGGAAGGTACACAAAAGCTCTAGGCGTTTTGAGGGGATGCCATTGTTCCCCATGCCCCCTGGATCTGACAGTGATAGGTTCGGTCACGAGTGTCGGAACTTATCTCATCTCATTTTCATTAGGTTGTGATAAAACAATATCATTAACTTCTTAAATAACTTTCCAGTTCAGTGGTGAAGTTGGTATCTGCAAACCTTCTCCGTGAGAAACAGATCTGAATGGAATCACTGGTTATTAAATTGTACATTTTTTAAGATCACTCCATGTTTGTAAGATAGAAGTAGCAATTATCGAAATCATGAGTAGGGTCTCACCACATGTTAGGGATAACATATCATGACGCTTCTCTTACCTATTGTGTAAGAGTTTCATTGCAACACACAAAACAAACATTTGGAGCCCAAATTTTGTCTTGATCACCAACTTTGCAACCAGAATACACAAATGCAAACGATAAGCTTTTCTAATAATAAGGTATTGTTAAACATTTACCTTCTGATTTTAACATTAATAGTTGACAAAGACAACAAAATGTATTGGGTATTTTTTTTGAAAGATCGACCGTTAAAACGCTTCATCTTGAGTATAAACTTAACTAAAAATACGCAACCACTCTTTAAACAAAGAACATCTTATTTCTAGGTGCCAGGAATAACCAGACATATAGATACAACACAAATCTTAGATACCCATGTATATTAGACCTAGATTAGTAATGTACTCTTCCTTCTCCTCCAAGACGCTGATTTACCAAATATGACTTTGTAAAGTTACAAAGAAATGGGGCAGAGTGTAACCTACTTGTGCGCAGATTTTTAAACAACAATAGAAATTGTAACAATAATGATAATAGGTCTTTGTTAGCGAATCACAGTCGGCTAATGTTATCTTTGATAAAAAAATTTGAAACGCACCCATAGAAACACACGCGCACGCACGCACACACGCACAGATACGCACGCACACGTACGTACGTAAACGCACACGCACGCACGCACTCGCGCACACTCGCGCACACACACGTAAAATGCACATAATCGCGGAATGCAGGAAATTACATTATATATTCTTATCATAGTAGCCACCTATGCTCGTTTCAGCATAGAGGCTGATTGTTTTTTGTTTGTTTGATAATCTGTTGGATATGCTAAATTGACGTTAAGAACAAGTACTCTTAATGGAATTCGAACTAATCATGACTTAAATCCTATTTCTAAATTTTAATTAATTTTTACGCCTACTAACCTAACTACGATTTATTTTTGATTACAAACGATAATTTGAGTATTCGTCTTCTCAAATGTGAAGGGAAAATATCGAAGATTCTTAGACCAAAGAACTCTCTTTTTTCGAAGAAAGAAAAAAAAAAGGGGTGTAGGATTGACTTTGGGCACGATAACGAAAATGTCTTCAACAATTTTAGAACAAACATCGTTAATATTGTAATTGTTCTGTAAACGAAAATCGGTTTGTAGGTGTGAAGAAAGAGATAATGGTAGAAATAACACGTGAAATATTATGATATCATCATTCAATTGGTTATTGGCTTTATAAAGATAATTTTTCCATCTTTCCTTTATGTTTTGTATCGTTCTTGCTTTGCATTTTGCCGGTAGCTAATTTTTCGTAATAATGTCTGATATCTTTAAGAAGCTAATGTCACCGACTCTATTTTTAAAATTTTATCGACACGCGGCTATCAGATAGAGAGCTTCTTCTTCCTTTTTACTTTCAATGATTTGCAAATAGAGTGATTTTTCAAATGCTCGCGACTTCGTATGTACGTTTTTATAACATGGTGAGTAGCTTAATGTAAGTGGACAGCGTTTTCAAGTATTCAATTATCTTTGCCCCACTTTGTCGCGTTCGAAGATATTACCAAGTAGACGCATTGTAGTAATGGCAAATTTTGCTGTGACGTCTGCAGCAAAGAGTCGGCGCGGGAAAGAAGACAGTTGCACAAAGAATGAGGATGGGCGTTCTTCTCGTTTCCTCCTTATCGCACATTTAAAGTTATCTGAAAGGAGCGCCACCAGTCGTATTTCTTCGCGCTAGAGCGCGCTTCTTATCGATAGTAGGTTAGGCCTCATGCAAACTTCACTCACACAATATTGTACCTGCAGACCTTGCAAACCTGCTTCATCTAGAAGACATTTCTCTTATTTTTTTGTTTTATTATGTTATATGTTGTGCGTATAGTGAAATTCTTCGCTACTGTGTGCAAGTCCAGTGTTTTGATTTGATGCTCGTTCACATCCAATACATCAGGATTGTACCCACACCCTAAGTGGAGTCGCGTGGTTGTCGGTAAGTCATTGCGTTTTTTTTTTTGCTTGCGACTGCAGACGTCATTCGTGTGTCATAATGCTCGTCTGCCACCGCCAGTTTAAGCGTAATGTAGAGTGCATTGTGCTTCACAAGCAGGTAAGTTTCATTCATAATTTCGCTGTACGCGCTTTGTAGAAATTACCTGTACGTGTTTTGATTTTCCCACACCAACATCAAAAGTATCAAAAATGAATATTAATTATGCCAATGCACACGTGATATTGTGACATCCGAATAATCACATTTAATAAAATATATATCCTTGGCGGTAGTAGGTTATCCAGAAATATCTTCTGTCGGAGGTTATTCAGATAAGGCCCTTCACATGTTCTTAACCTTGTCAGTTGTACCCTGAAATCTATAGAGACCAGTATCAGTGCGATATTGATGTATGTTTATGTGAACGCCCGAGAGGTTATGAAACCGTTAAGGCTTTGGCTTCATCTTCGGTGTGCATGATTGGCGATGAGCCAAATCCGAGAGATTGGACGGATCACGTTATGGGATTAGTGTATCATCAGTGTATTGCAATGGAACTTCAACGAAATCAAGGACGTATCAGAAATAACTTCATGTTGAATATTATTTCACTATTTGAATATTATTTTTGTAAACTGAGAATCTAAAATTCAAATAAAATAAAATGTGTCGTACTTTCTTTGAACAAAGAATGCTTCTATTGAAATAGAAAAAATAAGTATACTTGCAGAAAATTAAAATTCTTAATTTTTAATTATTTTCGACAATTAAACATTGAGGGATTACAGTAAAATATTTAGGCCCACGAATTGAAGCAAATCTGAAGTGAACACCAACAAATACTTGAAATATTAAATTAAAAACCCGGTTAGCGTGCTTGGACGTTGCTAAAGTGACCTGAAGCGAGAAAACTAAATAGAAAATATTTCAGAATTTTCAAATTAAGTGATTTCTACAGTAGTGAATGTCCCATTGTGTGGTCCAGGTGAATGATACATTCGTGGCAGCGAAACATTATGACCGTCAGATGAAAGTAGTGTGCGTGTAAATAATGATGGTTACAAACCTTAATAAAACACATAGAGAACATGAGAATCCTCGGATGGAGGTCAAACAAAGCGTGAATAATGTGAACTGACTGAAAAGTAAGAAACACAAGAACTCAATGATTGCTCAAGGTTTCTATTGACGATCTTTTAGTTTTAAAGCATTCCTTACAAATTCGTTCTAGAATTTACAAAAAAAAAAAAAAAAAAAAAAAAATCAGTTGGCAATGTAAATATATCGTATTGTCCATATGTAACAAAATAATTAGGCGAGGCAGGAAATTTTTTTCTCACTAGTACGGTGGTCAAAACCAAAAACCCCTTTTTTGTGGTTAAATAATCCAGGTAATATTTCGGGACACACTCCAGTTATTTTAATTGCTAATTGGCTGATTTATTCACATTAGGATTAATATCCTTTTAAATTTGAAAAAAGTATGTATTTCAAGTGATATGGTAATTATCACGAAGTAATTTCCCAATAGAATTTGTTTGGTTCAGAGTAAGATTTACTGCAAATTACATTGCTTTGACTGTTGGAGCATTTACTCAGATTTACTGTAAAAATCTACTCTTTAAACTAACTTGACAATTTCTAAGTATTACTGTAGTATTACAGAAATCTCCCTGAAGGGGATCAACCTTTGATGATTTTTCGCTTTTTTTAATGTTCTAAATATTAACTAAACAGCCGATAAGTCCTTTTATCTCGTTAGAAACACATTGTTATCATAATAGGATTAATAGTAAGACGTTAAGGCGATATATGATAGTAATCACAAAAGGTTTCAAAGA